ATTGTCGTCCCCCGCAGGCACCGCTCTCTCTCCCCCAACCGCCGATGATGCGCCACCTTCTGCGGCCCGTGCAAGCTCTCCACCATCACGAACCCCCTCAACCCCAGAGGGCCTCCTTTCCATAACGGCACCCGTCGTGAAAATGGTCTCTACGTCTGGTGAAGGCACAGACGCCGCTTCCAAAGCAATGACCTTTTCCGGCTCGATATCAGCGGCAACGACCTTACCGATTTCCACCCTTCGCCTTTATCTCGACAGTGACTCCTCACCGTCAGATGGTTCATCTACTAGATGATAAATGGGCCAAGAAGAGATCTCATCCCTCACGGCAACAGTTTGGTGGGCAGAGTCCCTCATCGGCGGAGCTTGAGTACGACCTCCCCGAACAGACTCCGCCAAAGCAAATTGCATCCACACCGACGCGTTGGCTTGGCGGAATGCTGGCACTGGAGCTTTCTTCTTGGAAATTCGCCGACCTAGCACCAAAGGGAGGTCGCATCAACGAGCAATAGTAAACAACAGAAAGTTGAAGCAAAAGTAACACTTACTAGACGGGACCTTAGGTCCAAAACGCTTGTGGAGAGACGCCCAATCACGAACCCCCACCATGTGAGGTAACACGCGAGCCACCCAATCTTCAATGTTGAAGACAGGAGAGAGTGCACACCTTTCAACTAAAAATAAAGAAACCGCAAGTGAGGTGAAAATGAAAGGACGAAAGAAGACAACAAGCGTACGACAAAGACACTTACGATTATGATTCCACTGCTCGGGAAACCCAGTCGGGTCCACCACCAAGTTCTCGGTCTTGATGAAGAAGTACTTATGCCAGAACTTACCATTCGTTCTGTCATCCATTCCGACTACCAGCCCTCTGGTCCCACGATGTCGTAGGTGTATCATAGTACCTCTAGAAAAACTAGGCAAAAATAAGTGCAGCAGGTGGCGAACATCAACCTCACAGCCAGCCAATTCCGCGTACTTCGTCAGCATCAAGAAAGCTTTATACAAGTAAGTAGAGAGTTGCGCCGAGCAGACATTGTAAAACCGGCAAAATTCCTCCGCTAGCGGAAGGAGAGGAAGAGTATAACAAATCAAGAATGGGTATACATAGAAGGCACAATACCCGGGTCGATGGACCTCCACGATGTCGCCACCGGCCGAAACGATTTCGACATGGGGGGGGGGAGGCGATATTTGGACCGAAGGTCGGCTATATGAGGCGGTCCAGTCTCGGAGAGCACCTGAGCGGGAGCAGGAGCAGGCTCCTTTGGAAAATCATTTCTAGCCAAAGGGTTTTTGGGAACTATCTCCTCCGCGGTAGGAAAGCTATCATCCTCTTCAGCCATGAATTCCTCAACGCCGGGAGGAAGGGCCGCCGATAACGGAGTGGCATCGGAAACTTCATCATGAATGTGAGGGGGTTGTGACATATTTCAACAATAAAACGTATTCTACCAAGCCCGAAGAAGAAGATAACAACTGGGTAAGAAAAAGGGGAATGGAATCGAAGAAGCAAAACCAGGAGCAGAAATTGGGGAAGAAGATCAAAGAAGAACAGTACTCATGCAAAGTAAAGGATGGTAAAAACTTCCGAAAAATGAAACCCCCATCTATTTATAGGGCTGGATGGCGCGAGAATCGAAGTAAAGGATTGTCAATGGCACCAAAACCGAAGAGGCAGACGCACAGGCGCTGCCCCGGGAAGATGCGCAATGATGACGCGCGTGGCCATGACGTCACCCCACGATAGTCACACCAACCACAACTTCGCTGGCTGCAGCGTTCTCTCGACCTTGGTCGATCCGACTTATTCGACACAGCCAAATTTCTCCTAAGCGGAAGCGAATTAGGTCCGCTTATCGAGGGCGTGCAGGACGACGACCTCAACAAGCGGAGGGACTAACTGTATTGGTCTAAATTTGGAAACTTGGTAATAGTAGATAAACGGGATCAAGGACGGGGTCGACCACAGTGTAATAGCGAAAAGCCGTCCTCGAGAGGGCTGTTGTCAAGGACGAGCAGCTGAAGTGAAGAAATAACGGCAGGATAGGTTCAGATATGGACACAAGGAATATTCCTTTGGATATTCCTTATTTTGTACTTTTTAGGGTTTCTTGGAAATATCCCTTATAAATAGGAAGAGATAGAGAACAAAAAGGGGATCTTCACTTTTGATGATAAGAACACTTTTGTAAAGAGTAGACAAATAGGAATATACAACTATTGTCTTGTTCACTGACTACTTGACTCAACACATATTATTCACTCTCTGTTTGTTAGATCGGAGGATCCATTATCCATCTTTACTTCCCATCCTTCCACGTTGCTGTCAGGTGGGAGAATCATCCAAGTCACATAATATTTGGGTGATAAATTCCCTCTTATTATATTTATTGCCATTGTCTACATTTATTGCATGTTTTTATTATTGCAGCATTCATTGATAATCATTAAGCTCATATCTGATATTCATTATCCTTAGACATTATCCGCACAGTCAATACCCCTCAACATTAGATTTAGAATTGGTTGTTTTTGACTAAGATTCATCCTCTACTTTATCAATAATTAATTTAACGAAAAGCTCAACACTTTTTGGTCAAACACTAACAAGGTGTACAAAAACAAGTGATAGAATGGCAAGAGGAGCTAGAGTGGGCAGTGAAGCTAGCAAATGGTAAGAATGGTCCTCGCTTGCAGTGTCTGCTATATTTGGCAGGAGAGAAATAATAGAATCTTCCAAGTAGTCATGAGGAATGAAGCAGACCTTACCAGATTTATTGTGCGGGATATTCACTGTCGAGGTGCAATTGCAACACAAAAATTGCTGGAGAACTGAGGAAGCTCAATTATTATCCTTAGGAACTTAGTTTTTTTGAATTTCTTGTACATATTTTCCCTTGGTAAAATAAAGCTCATTAACTACCAAAAAAAAAAAAAAATTAGAATTGCATGGCAAGTTGCTCTATAATTTTATGGGTTAAATTATAACTTAAATACGTAATAAACATCTTATTTTCTTTTTTTGGCGGCTAAGGGACGATTTAAGTCGGTTGCAGATCCAACCACGAGTTCGCAGATTCAGTAAAACTAAGTCCATTGATGTTGAACCCTATAGATCCATTTGAATCAATATTTTTTATGCGAAGCATAGACATATAGTGAAAACTCACTAAAATTTCAACCAATATCATATTCTAAACCCATAATTTTAAACATAGAATGAGTTTCATGCTAAGAATCTCAAAAACCAAAGTCATCAAGTCTAAATTCTATCTTTCACTATTTAGAGCAGATGTACCTCCTCAATCAATCAAAAGGCAATAGTATTAGCTAGTAACTCTTAATTTTGAGTGTCCTAATAGGCTACTAAAAAATCGTAAAGACAAAATAACAAAATACTAGTCAAAATACTTGATTATGTGTTTATCGTAGTGGGTTGGAATTACATAACTAAGGATATACTATAGTAGCGTTTCTAATTCTACCAGCAAAACCGCCCACAGAATTAGTTTACTTGTAAAAATCATGAATTTTAAGCAAATCATATTTTATTGCTTAGAAAATAAAATAAAAGATAAACGAGAAATTAATATAAAGGGTGAATTTCAGTGTGGTTACTGAACTTTATTTGTTATATCAGTAAAGACGCAAACTATTTTATCATAAATAATCATTAAAAAGTTTTTGTTATATCAGTAAAGTCTAAAACTGTATTTTGTATCATTAAAAGTAACAACAACAACAGCAACCACCCAGTATAATCCCACAAGTGGAGTCTGGGGAGGGTAGGATATATGCAGCCTTACCCCTACCATGGAAAGACAGAGAAACTGTTTCTGATAGACCTTCGGCTAAAGAAGGTGAAAGAAGCCCTGATAGCAAGTAATAGCAAGACAAATAATTAGAAAACTAAATCGAAGATAGCAACAGAGAATATGAAAGGGATACCGATAACAAGTAATAGCAAGATAATATATTTAGAAAACTAAATCCAAGGCAGCAAACGAGAATATGAACGAAGTACTGCTAGCAACGAAGTACTGTATCATTAAAAGTAACGAGAAAAATATTCTAAAAACTATAAATAAGTTCAAGTTGTGAATATTTTCATATTTTGTTTTACTGAAATGTCGAAATGCAATGACTAAATATAAATTTGGTAGAGATTCACATGGGGTGATGCTGCAATATTTTGGATCATCGGGATCTGATTTTTGACGTACTAATATATTAATTTTACATATGTGACAGCGTCTAAAATGTTTTAAGATTTTAATCATATATATTTTTTCAAATACAACTGTTCTAAAATCAATTCTCACTAAATCAAATCTGAGTGAGCACATTATTGTTTTATAAACGAATGGACCTAATTCTTTAAGCTGATTAAGCATCTACTATTAATTAACGAATAAGAGAAGGTCTTGATTAGATATATACTATAAACTTATAACAAACACATAAAATGAAGACGACTTTATATATCTATCATTAGGCTATGAATTAATTAATTATAAGTTAGCCGAATATTGGGTGCTTAATTTAGTTACCACACCTACTATCCAAAGATCATGACATATATATGTAGTTTGATACTACAAGGAAGAAGAGTGATCAAGATGTGCTTTATAAATAATCTTCAACTTATTTTCCTGTAATAAAGTTGTCCTATTCATGGTTACATCATATATATGTGGTGTCAAAGGTGGATTTAGGGAAAGTTTCGTGCTGAAGCAGAGTCAGAATTTCAAGCTTATGGATTAGAATTTTAATCGCTTTAAGTAATTGGGTTCTAAATTGATAGTTTGTACATATTTAATAAATTTTTAGAATAAATACAGGGTTCGAATCAAAGTTACTGGGTTCGGCTGAAATTGCTCTCGACACTCTAGCTCCACCCTTGGTTTTCGTGAATCCAACTGAATTCATTATTTATTGCTCGGGCTATATGTAAATATGTTTAAAAAAATTCATATATACATATATAAAAACACACTCATTCAGAAACTAACTGACTCAAGATCTTGAATTATCCTCGGTGTGTGGCAATGGCGGAGCCACATACAATGCAGATGATTCAATCCCTAATTCATCAGAAAGTTATACTACACAAATTTGTGACATATTTGTGTTTTCTTTAATTTCCTTGTGATCAGAGGCGAACCTACCCTTAGGGTAGAGGGACACTGGCCCGGTAATCTCATAAAAATATATGTATTAATGTGTATATATTTTAAATAACAGGTATATATTTTGATTGGCACCCTAAAACTCATTGCATAGGCAGTTGTATATGATCGGTCGATTTGGAGGCAACAACTTGACTTTTAATGCGCTGACTGGGTTCAATTTCTCCAGCATTTGTTCAAATTTTTATTCGATAATGGTGCCTCCATCACTTTCAAATTCTGAATGCGCTTTTGTTGGTCATAATTCTTGGCTTTGCAACTGCTTTATTGTGCTGCATTATTAGTTATAGGAGCATATAAATATTAATTCCTGATTAATTTGGTGTCATAGTGTTTGATAAGAGGAGGTTGCGTAACATGCATTGATGACCAAGTTAATGATTGTTGTTTTGATTAGGACGACAATTTAGGATAAAATTATGAGGTTTTGGGAACTCTTGGGTGGTGACACCTCTATTAAAATAGATTAATGAACTTAGCTAAAATCACATGATGCTGTTGTCTATTGGTGAATTAAATAAATATTGATTAAACTTTAGATTTTGCAACACTTAAGAAAAAGTAAAAGTAACCACCAAAGGTTGTGATAGAGTGATAAGTATTTCTTCATTCCTAATTAGAGATCTCGCGTTCAAGCTTTAGGTATATAGTCGATTTTGGTAGAAATGCTTTAATCCTTAAGGCGAAACTTCCTAGTAGGACCTGAATTAATCGAACCCTAAACCACGTGAGAAAAAGAAGTTAAATTTACTTAATAAACATGTGTATAAAATAAGAAGTTGAGATGGCTTGTAAAGACATAAGTCATAATAACTTGTATATGTAATTTAGAGAACTCATTTAACTAAGCTTTCATAGAGAAGACGTCCACAAGTTGAAGATTGATGGATATGACTTCTTACCTAAAGATATATCAAATTCAAGAAAATATGCAAAAACATATGTAAGAACATATATAGAATTTAATTATGCATGTTTAGTTTTACTAACATTTTTGTATGGTTTTCCATTTGTTATTCAGTATTCGTATTAAAGCTTCGATTAATTTGGATATCGACAAATAAGGCATATGAAAAAAGAAAATACTCTCTACCATGATTTGTTTTTATTTCTAAAACTATCCGAAACCTTTGATTAAAGAAGGAATCATATCTATCACACCAATCGTACCACAACCCTTGAAGACGGGCGCGGACGTAGTATTCTAGTGACGGGCTCAATTGAACTCATAACTTTTGACGCGAAGTACAAATGTAAGTGTAAAAATTTATTAAAATTGTAAAAATGGTAGATATGAACTTATAACTTTAAAAATATAATGAGTTTAACGCTAAGAACCTTATAAGTTAAACCCATAAGGTTAAAATCCTAAATCCGCCTCTGCTCGAAGACGTGAATATTTCTTTAAAAAAGTGAATAATCGTTATGCAAGGAACACAAGAGGGGAAAAAAGAGAAAAAAATATCAAATTGATTAGCCTTGTGAAATAATAATGACTGGATAGGACAAGAGAAGAATAAAAGATAGTGGACGATTCTAGAACTACTACACAAAATTTAAATATAGGTTTACTTTTCTATTCTGACAAATGATATGTATTACATCAGATATAATGTTCATCGATTTTCAAGATTAGTACTCTCCAATCACAATAATTTATGTATAACTTAAATCTGTGCATCACTAAAAATATATATATTGTAGCAATATCAAAAAGCATTAATTAAAGATAAAAATGCTCTTATTATATAGACAATCCATCTAAGTAATCTTCGATTATTACTCGTGAATATATATAGAGAGTCTATTATAGGTTCACGAGAACGCAATAACTTCTATGCATATTTATATAAATATTAAGAAATTTATTAAATATTAATAAAATTTAATTTAAAATAACGATAAAACACATAAACTTCAAATACTAAATTTGTTTCTGCCACGTAACAAAATGTTCATACAATTATAAGAAATAAATCGAATCCTAGGACTTACTCAATTAAACCAGAATAACTGAGATGCATGACATATATAGATCAGTACAGAATTACAGATACCAAGTATTTGTTGTCAAGTGCACTTTGTCTAGTTAATCACTCAATTAGTCAAGTAATTAATTGTCAAAAAAGCTTTTGCATGGCTTTTTTGAATATTAAAACTAACGTGTCACCACGTGGTATCTACTTGTTTTACCCTTCAACAGTTGTCACCAATTTTATTTTATTTTATATATCATTTCAAGAAATTTTTTCTATATATAGCCCCCAATAATCCTTTTACTCAACTCCTACTTTACTCTCTAAATCTTTGTTTCTTCAATTTTTTTCGAGCTTCTTCTTCATTTGTGCTTGCCTTTTATTATTTTCTTCTTCATTTTGTAGAAGGATAATAATATGGAGAATCCTTTGCATTTAAAGTCATTGAATCACATATCAATAGTATGCAGATCTGTTGAAAAATCTCTAGATTTTTACCAAAATATTCTTGGATTCTTTCCAATTAGAAGGCCTGGTTCTTTTAATTTTGATGGAGCATGGTAAGTAATACTCTATCCGTTTCACTTTAATTAATTTTTTTGGCTGTTTTAACACATATTACCGATGGTCCACTTTTAATTAATTTTTTTGGCTGTTTTAACATATATTACAGAATTCAGCTTTTAGCATTAGTTAATAATGAAATTGACTATATTAACCTTAATTTGTTCAATAGAAATATCAATCACCTAGGCTCTTTACTCCAAGGGCAACTTTGAAAAAAAAGAAATTAAACCAAATATCTAAAAAAATCAAATATTGGGGACAAAAGAAAAAGGCTAAAAAATAAATTAAAGTGGACCAGAGGGAGTACTAATTAAGCAAAATGAATGTTTTAAGCTTGTTAATGTCTTTGTTTTCAAAATTGATAAAAATTATTAAGATGCTAAAAACATGTTTATTAACAATTATGACTTAAATTTGCAGGTTGTTTAATTATGGGTTTGGCATACATCTATTGCAATCTGAGGATCCAGAGAACATGCCCAAGATTAGAATCATTAATCCCAAGGATAATCACATTTCCTTCCAGGTATACACAACTTTTCTGTCTCGATCTCTTCTCCATTATATATTTAACTATTTCCAATATTAAAAATGAATATAATATAATATTTATGACTTTCATTTACTTGTTTATAAAAAAATAAAAGCGGCCATCCTATGGATATTCTTTGAATTTTGATTATTTGGTCCTATATAAAAGAAAGGTATTAATTACCTTATTAGCTTATTGGATAAGAATGTCATGTTTCCTAATTTGTTGTCAAATCTTTAGGTGGGAGCAACAATAAAGTTGTTTTCGTGTGATCTATAGCTCACGGTATGAGCCGTAGAATTAGCCGTTAACTTTTGCCCTGCGCTAGGGTAGACTGCCTACATCATACGTCTCGAGTACGAGCCGTAGAATTAGCCGTTAACCTTTGCCCTGCGCTAGGGTAGGCTGCCTACATCATACCTCTCGAGGCGCGGCCCTTGGTGAATTATGAACGGAGATGATTTGTTCACAGGGCTGCCCCTTAACTATAAACTAGAGTTTAGATATATTAATCCAAGACTATAGAAGAATTTTGTTTGAGTGGGTGAAAATTAGCGTCCCCTCTCTCTCTATATATATATATATATATTCAATTTCATATAATTAAAATATAATGACACATTTGTATATTTAGAAATTCTTCAAATTTTAAAATTTTCATTTTACCTGTAGGGTCATTCTCGTATAGCCACGATTAATTAAGAGCACGAGTTTTAAAGTATTTTTCTTATTTTCTTAAACTTAGTGTCCAGTCTAATGTTTTCTTAAACTTAGTGTCCAGTCAAACATTAGACGGACCGAGTATTATACATCATCAACTAAATTGACCAGTTATTTTTTGCAGTGTGAGAGTATGACAACAGTGGAGAAAAGGCTAAAAGAGATGGAAATAGAATACATAAAGAGCAGAGTTGAAGAAGGTGGAATTTACGTTGATCAACTATTTTTCCATGATCCAGATGGTATGATGATCGAAATCTGTAACTGCGATAACTTGCCGGTGATTCCACTCTCCGGCGAAACTCTCCGGCCGTGCTCAACTCTCCGCTGTAGCATGCAGCGGAAGAAAATTCAACAGCTTGTCTAATTAAAAAAAAAAAAAAGTTAAAAGAAGTATCTTATTATGACATTTTGTAAGAGCATGCATTTTCCACTTGGTGTTCAAATATGTTGAACCCATTTTGTAATTTTGTGTATCATATTCACATATTATTCCCAAGTTTAACTTGGGATGTCGCCTTTTTGTCTTGTCTCTTTATTTCAAAGACCGTGCTAAGGTTTCATCATAATTTACTCCCTTGGTTTCATTTTTTTATATATATAAATATTTCATATTATATATAAGTTACGGTTAGTAATATTTACTTTATAGTATGTTGCGCAGCTTTTTTCCGGACTCTGTATGAACACCGGATATTTTGTGTACTGGACTGCTTTTTTTTATTTTTTTTTATATACTATGTTGGTGTTGAAATGAATACCGAGTTTAAAAGTTAAATACTATGTTGGTGTTGAAATGAATACCGAGTTTAAAAGAAAGACTCTTTGACCTGTAAGTTAAATTTGTACTTAAAAACCGTGACTATGAACATGTAATGTTATTTTCATAATAGTCTCGCTAGAAATAAAATGAGAATTAAATAGTTTCATATGAAAAAGAACTCAATCTTAACAGAGGGAGTACATTTCATTCTCGAATTGGGCCGCATGACCCTATTGAGCATCTTAATTTGATGGGCTGATTGTTTAGCGAAAAGCATAAAAATTGGTTGGCGTAGCCACTTTTCGGCCCTCCTATTAGAACTTGGCCGCCTTTTCAAATGAATTGGCGAAGTAATTACTTGTCCGATTAAATTGATATTTTTGTCCCCAACTAAAATACGTAACACAACTCCAGATATTGGAGTTCGAAGCTCCAGGAACGATTCCTGATTTCTTAGCCTTTGCTAGTGTTAAATCTAGGAACGATTCCTCGAGTTCAAACTAAGGTATCTGAAACAATATGAAAGGATTCAAATCCCAATAATCGTTATTGGGTATTAAACCTATAAAGGTTTGAACCTCAACAATCATTACTAGAGTTTGAACCTATAAAAGTTTGAACAAACTCCATGTGACGACTCAAAGGGTCATCACCTATTTTTATTGTAAAATTATTTTATTATTTAAGGAAATTTGAAATGAAAATTGATTAGAACGTGTTGGTATCGGGCCCGTATTTTTAGTTCCGGCGCCCGGTACAGGTCTTATATATGGTTTGAGTCATTTCTGTGAAATTTGGTTGAAAATGGACGTCGTTCGACGTGATTCGGACCTAAATTGGAAAAAATTGATGTTTTATGAAGTTTGAAAGACTTCTTGGATTTTGAGGTTTAATTCGATGTTTATGATGTTATTTTGGCGATTTAATCGCACGAATAAGTCCGTAGGATGTTTTTGAGGTTGTGTGTATAAATGGTTTGGAGCCCCGAGGGCTCGGGTGAGTTTTGGATAGGCCACGGGTGCATTTTTGAACTTTGAAAAAAATCTAGTATTTCTGTTCTGCAGTTTTCGCATTTGCGAAGCAGGTCTCGCAAATGCGAGCTCGCAAATGCGAGCCTGGCATCGCAAATGCGAGAAGGGAATTTTTGCAGCCTGATCGCAAATGCGACCAAATGGTCCGCAAATGCGAACCAGGGCATGTCGCAAATGCGACACTTTCAATCGCAAATGCGAAACCCCTCAATTTGTACAGTGTTCGCAAATGCGAACATCACTTTGCAATTCCCACATCTGCAGAGGTCGGGGTTCGCAATTGCGAACCCCTGTTCGCATTTCCCATATCAGAGACCTGCAATTTTACACTTAAACGATTTTGAACCCCATTTTTCATATTTTCTCAAACCCAAACACACTTAGGCGATTTTCCAAGAATAAGCTTCCAAATCAATTGTAAGTTAGTTTTTACTCATTTCTTTCAATCATTAACATCTTTTAACATGATTTCAACCTAAAATCAAAGAATTTCATGGGGGAAATTGGGTGTTTTAGGTAGAACCTAGGTTTTTAAAAAATTGGGGATTTGGACCTCAATTTGAGGTCCGATTTCAAAACAAATTATATATTTGAGTTTGTGGGGGAATGGGTAATCGGGTTTTGGTTTGAACCTCGGGTTTTGACCACGTGGGCCCGGGGGCGATTTTTGACTTTTTGGGTAAAACTTTGGAAAACTCATTTTCATGCATTGGGGTTGATTCATTTGGCACTTATTGATGTAATTAAGTAATTTGTGATTAGATACAAGCAAATTGGTGGTGGAATCAAGGGGTAAAGCTATAATTGAGACTTGAATTGTGTTCATGGCATCGAGATAAGTGTTTGGTCTAATCTTAGCTTGAGGGATTAGGAGTTGAGTCCTATTTGCTATGTGATAATTGTTGAGTACGACGTATAGGCATGGTGACGAGTATCTATACGTTGGTGTCAAGTATGACCGTGAGTCTTATATTGTGATTTTCAAGGTTTCGTTGTATTCTTCAAGCTTTGGTGATGATTTCTAGTTGTTGTGAAAAGTTTGTGGAAGGAATTGAGACCTTTGAACATTTTGAAGCATTGGCTCTAGTTATATTATGAATTGTGAAAGTATATGAGATGATTGAACCCTTTGGAGCATTGGCTCAAGTGGTAAAGTGAGTTACGAAGTACAAGTGAAAGATAGAGAAAAAGTTATTGAAATATTCTCTTGCCGGGATTTAATTATTTACTTGTTGCTCCCTTGTCGGGATTTAATTGTTAAATCGTTGTTCCCTTGCCGGGATTTCTATATGTTCTTGTTTATTTCCCTTGCTCTTGTTTGTGATTGTTGTTTGGGTGAGGAAGACTGTTAAAGCACGAAGGGTGATGCCGTGCATTGTTTGCTATTGTGAGGAAAGAGAGTAAAAGCATGAAGGGTGATGCCGTGCACATTTTATTATTCTAATCGCTTTGGTGAGGAAAAAGAGTAAAAGCACGAAGGGTGATGCCGTGCACATTTTATTATTCTAATTGTTTTGGTGAGGAAAGAGAGTAAAAGCACGAAGGGTGATGCCGTGCACGTTTTCATTATATTATTGCTGGTGAGGACGAGAGTAAAAGCACAAAGGGTGATGCCGTGCACTTTTCTTTGATTTTCCTGATTCTTGCTGATAATTGAGTTATGTTGTCCTTTACTTTTATTTACTGATTTTCTTGTTGTTATCGGTTCAAGTGCATTAATTGTCTTATTCCACTATTACTGTGATTCTTTATGTTGGCATTTTTCTTTATTGTGTTACTTGTTATTATTGGCTCGAGGTATCCTTGCGCAACTTTATGCTTTGAATTTATGCTATAATTGCTACATGTTCATGTGACTTAATTGCTATTTGACATTTAGCATACTAAATATTAAATTGCCTATTTGTTCCTTAAAGTCCATAATTAATTGCTACTTGTCATTACTTGTTTTCCTCAGTGAGTCATAATTATTGTGTACTTGTTGTCTTATGAATTCGTATTAATTGTTGCGTTTGTGGAGTAATTTCATTTGGAAGAACTGTTGATTTAATGAAATGGGAGCGGGTGGTACGCCTACCACGAGATTTAATGAAATGGGAGCGGGTGGTACGCCTACCACGAAATTTAATAAAATGGGAGCGGGTGGTATGCCTACCACGAGATTTAATAAAATGGGAGCGGGTGGTACGCCTACCACGAGATCTAATGCAATGGGAGCGGGTGGTACGCCTACCACGAGATTTAATTATTGAGAAATGGGATCGGGTTGCACGCCTGCAACGAGATATGTACTGACAGTGAAATCTGCTTTTATTTCCCTTATCCGTGTTAGAGTTAAATTATTGATGTTCTTTATTATTTTCTTGAAATTCTGTATTATCTGCTATCCCCGAAGCATGTTCCCCTCCCATTTAAGATGTTTGTTCTTGTTATTTTCCCGTTGTAGATATATATAACTGTACAGGTTTATGTGGTAGTCCTGTCTAGCCTCGTCACTACTTCGCCGAGGTTAGGCTAGGCACTTACCAGCACATGGGGTCGGTTGTGCCGATACTACACTCTGTGCTCTTTTGCACAGACCTAGGTCCCGGACAGCAGCAGTAGCTCGGGAGCCAGCCTTCAGTCCACCGAGACTCCGAGGTAGCCTTGCACGCGTCCGCAGGCCCGGCGTCTCCTCTATCATATATTTCATTCTGTTATCTCATGTTTTTGAGACGAACAATGTATATTTCTTTCAAACGATTGTATTTAGTACTCTTAGTAGTCCGTGGATGATGTGACACCAGTTCTTGGGTAGAGGCACATGTTGAATTCCGCATTATTGTTCAGCTTATTTAATTTAAGTCTTTCGCTTTAATTTCATATTCCGCTGTTATTTAAATATTTATCGCTTGTTGTTATGAATGATAAAGAGGTGTTAAAATAAAGGAGTTTGGACTTTATGATTTGTGGCTTGCCTAGCTTCTACGAGTAGGCGCCACGACCCCTGAGGGTGGGAAATCCGGGTCGTGACAAGTTGGTATCAGAGCTCTAGCTTACCTAGGTCATACAATTCACGGACAAGCTCAGTAGAGTTTGAGGGATCGTTACGGAGATGTCTGTATTTATCCCCAGAGGCTACGGAGTTAGGAAAACTTCACACGTGTTCTTTCCTGTCGTGCGGTTTTATTTCTCAAGTGCTAAATTGAAACCTCTACTCTTGTCCCTTCGCGAATGGCGTGGTCATGTGCCGCTTCTTCTGCTGAGCAGCACCACAGACCAGTGATAGATCAGCTACGTCTTCGGAGGCTTTGTGGAGGTTGGATAAGTTTCACCAAGCTCTTCACTACTACATTCAGCGGTGCATCTACGGAGGATCCCCAGGATTATCTAGACAGCTGTCATGAGGTTCTCAGGAACATGGGGATCGTGGAGACCAATGGGGTCGATTTTGCTACCTTTCGCTTGTCTGGATCCGCCAAGACCTGTCGGAGAGATTATTGATTGGCTATACCAGTTAGGTCACCAGCTTTGACTTGAGAACAGTTCACGCAGCTATTTCTGGAGAAGTTTCTCCCCATCACTCAGAGAGAGGTCTATCGGATGCAGTTTGAGCGTCCCCAGCAGGGTTCTATGATTGTTACTCAGTACGAGATCAGATTCATCGATTTGGCTCGTCATGCTCTTATCATACTTCCCACCGTGAGAGAGAGTGAGGAGGTTCATTGAGGGACTCGTCCAACCCGCTCAGTTAGCTAGAGGTGGAGGTAGAGGTATTAGAGGGGGAGGTAGAGGTATTAGA